TTTCTCATATTAAGGACGTCTTACTTCTAAGTGTACCTTTGTTTAAACATCAGGTTTCTCATGTTAAAGACGCCTTACTTCTCCGTGTACCTATGTTTAAATCTTCTTAATCGCTTGAGCCTGGTACATGTATTCTGTTACACAATTTTAAATGCGGACTCAAATTTTAGAAGTAAATTTAAACCAGCAGATCTTCCTCTTCCCCATCTGCTAAAATAATGTCACACAGCCTAGCAGCCCCATCTAAAAAATGCAATTAAAGATTTTTTTTCTAAAAGAATGTCCACATGGACATTTCTAAAATAATATGTTGAGCTTGTCTAGCATTTTTTAAATTAAAACTTACAAAACGGCCAAATTTCAGTTGGGAACATTCTTCTCTTGTATGAAAAACTGCCTTCACACGTTTTGAACCCTCATTACCATCTCGTCACATATAGTCACGAAAACTCGCCTTGCCCCTCCACTTTGAAGTGTAACGTGCTGTATGGGATGGCCACTGGCCAATCATTTAGGTGGAACCACAATTGTTCGAACCAGCTGTCTCCTGAGATCTATTCAGTTGTAATAAGCAAATTTTCTATTGGCATGTACTGGTGTGTGGTAAAACTGTGGGTGTTGCCCACGCCATCACAACGGCGGATTAAGACTTCAATGGTGGAGGATTTGACGGCTTAATCCTCCGAGCTTAGGGAAACATGTGGTCGATATTATGTCGTTACTCACGCTGTACTTGCATCAAACACCTTACTCACGCGTGTCAGGTGTGTGACAGTTAAGTGGAACAGGTGTGTTAGGGGCAGCTGGCAGGACAGAACACACCTGTCAGGTGGTCTAAAACACACCTGTCTATTGGAACACACCTTTCAGGTGGTCTAATACACACCTGTCAGGTGGTCTAATACACACCTGTCAGGTGGTCTAATACACACGTGTCAGGTGGTCTAATACACACGTGTCAGGTGGTCTAATACACACGTGTCAGGTGGTCTAATACACACGTGTCAGGTGGTCTAATACACACCTGTCAGGTGGTCTAATACACACGTGTCAGGTGGTCTAATACACACCTGACAGGTTGTCTAATACACACATGTCAGGTGGTCTAATACACACGTGTCAGGTGGTCTAATACACATCTGTCAGGTACTCTAATACACACCTTCCAGGTGATCTAATACACACCTGTCAGGTGGTCTAATACACACCTGTCAGGTGGTCTAATACACACCTATTAGGTGGTCTAATACACACCTGTCAGGTGGACTAAAACACACCTGTCAGGTGGACTAAAACACACCTGTCAGGTGGACTAATACACACCTGTCAGGTGGACTAATACACACCTGTCATGTGGTCTAATACACACGTGTCAGGTGGTCTAATACACACGTGTCAGGTGGTCTAATACACACGTGTCAGGTGGTCTAATACACACCTGTCAGGTGGTCTAATACACACCTGTCAGGTGGACTAATACAAACCTGTCAGGTGGACTAAAACACACCTGTCAGGTGGACTAAAACACACCTGTCAGGTGGACTAATACACACCTGTCAGGTGGACTAATACACACCTGTCATGTGGTCTAATACACACGTGTCAGGTGGTCTAATACACACGTGTCAGGTGGTCTAATACACACGTGTCAGGTGGTCTAATACACACCTGTCAGGTGGTCTAATACACACCTGTCAGGTGGACTAATACACACCTGTCAGGTGGTCTAATACACACCTGTCAGGTGGTCTAATACACACCTGTCAGGTGGACTAAAACACACCTGTCAGGTGGTCTAATACACACCTGACAGGTGGATTAAAACACACCGGTCAGGTGGTCTAATACAAACTGGAACACACCTGACTTCTAGGTTAAAATACACCTGTGAAGGCACAAGAACACACCTGTCAAGTGGTCTAGCACACACTTGTCAAATGTGTAAAACAACAGTTATTGATTTGCTTGTGTCATTTAATATTCTATATGAGATCGTGCTTATTTATTTTTCCTAATTAATTATTTTTTTGCCAAAGAAAAATGTTGTGCATGCGACCATTTAATTAACCTACCCACATACGTTATGCCATCATAAGCTGTACACAATGTAGCTTCATTAGATTGCATCTTCAATCGATAGAAAAAAAACAACAACCCACTACATTAAACCTCGAACTAACACATTATACGAAACAAACAAAAAATAGTTCAAAAGCTTTTCAGTTATGCGTGTCATCCACATATTCATTGTGTTGTAACCTCATTGTTATAGCTTTGCTATATCTTTCATTGTTATACCTTTCATTGTGGTAGCTTTTATTGTTGTAGATTTATTTGTGATAGCTCCATTTGTTAAAACTTTATTTTTTATATTTTTTTTTGTTGTATCTCTATTTGTTATAACTTTATTTGTTATAATACCGTTTGCAGATCTTTACCAAGCCAAAATTTAATGTATGCACATGTTTAGCCAACCTAAGGACAATGTGGACATGTTTAATAGATTAAATAAAACGTCAGTCTTATATTATTGTAAAAATCCAATTATATAAATAGGATATTTGATTAAAAAACATAACAATTCTGCAGATTTTATAAGGGGACAAAACCGTGTATAATTTTAAACCGTTTAAACATGAGTGGGTTGATTCCCTTATCAGACACTACACAACAACTAAATTCTCAATATATCGCAGGCGTAATAATTATGCTTTTTAAAAGGCTACAGTAGATCATAGACGATAATTATATAAGTTATGCTAATTTAGATGAATTTTTGATTCGTAAATTTCCACGCAGGTATTTCAAGACAAATTTTTATAGGTTAACTCATAATCCAGCAATTAAAGTATTATCTACTAAAATTAAAATATAGAAGTTTGAGTTATGTACCTTGAATAACTGTTAACTGCCTCTTCTATAGAAACAAACCCTTAGACTACAAGGAACTAGGACTCGTCGTTAACGTAATTACTGTAACAAATTACAGTCGGTGTTTGATAACAAAGTAGATCAAATATGACTCTCATTCATCGCGTCAAAGGTTCGATCCTGACTCGCTCATAGCTAGTTCTTCGTCGTATCGTTTTGTTGAATCAGTGGCCGATATATATCGTTTAATTGTTTTAATATTGACCATCAGTGGTCGATTTATGATATTTATTGTTTAAATATTTCACATCATTGATCGATTTATATTATTTTATTGTTTAAATATTTCACATCAATGGTCGATTTTTATTATTTTATCGTTTAGAATTCAGGGGTCTCCAAACTTTTCAGCCCGAGGGCCGCATTAACTATAGTTCGGGGGCCAGAGTTTCTTCAAGACATCTCTTCGGGGTGAAAGCGCCCCCCCCCCCCACGCCAAGGAACGTATACCGCCCCCCCCCCTTAACGAAATATAATTTATATAGAAATATATACAAATTTCAAGTGTCCCCCCCCCCCCCCGGAGGAAAAAGTCTGAAAGAAACACTGTTGGTGGCCAAAATCACACTCGAGGTCCAAGTTTGCTCACAAATTGTTCTTCACGTATTTCAATCTTGAAAATATTTGTTCACACAGGTATCTTGTTCCAAAGCTTTAATATTAGGAAAATCTTCCTTTTGCAAAAACTTATAAAAACCCACCTGCCCTTCTTTGAACGTGTCTCTAATGACCTCCAGCTGCAGTTTATCTTTGCAACTGGCCACATTTGCTTCAAATGGGTTCTGAAACAGTCTCACTTTTTTCTTCCTTTGAATCAGAAGACCGCTACTGAAACTGCAGCTTAAAGTCTTTGATGATCTCGTATGCAAATGACGTGGGGAATTCAGTGGTTGCTTCAGCCGTAAAGACCCTTGCACAACTGAGTGCGTCAAGTTGTTGGCCTGTACTTGTTCCAAAAACATGACAAGTTTGGATCTGAAAGCTTTTAGGTGGGTGTCTAGATCAAAAACTAAATTTCTATCTCTTGTAGTTTTAGGTTTCAGAAAATTTAAATGACTAGTTATGTTTGCAGCAGAGGCCAATTTCTATACCCACTTTTCATCAGACAGTAAGTACATCAGCTTGTTGCTTGCCTTTACTTTCAAGGAAGTCACCTATTTCCTTTCTTAACTTAAATACTCTGCTCAGAAAAAATTCTCGCAAATTAGCCATCTTACTGCTGTGAAATATGGTAAATCTTGCGATTCTGTGTTTCTATCTTTTAACATGTCTTCGAACTATTTATATTCTCTCCGGTAACAGTGTCATACATTCTAGGTAGGGAAGCCAGCTCTTGTATTATGTTTATGTCTTCATCCACACCTCTAATGAACATAAGCAGTTGAGATGTGGAGCAGCTGTCCAGCAACTGATCCATTACAATTAAAAAATTACCAAACTTGCATTTTCGCTGTTTGAGTCACGATGTTTTCACCGATGTCTGCAACACGGCGGGCAATGGTATTTGCACCCAAAGCTAAATTTTCAAATTGTTTTGAATTTTCTGGGCATAGTTTCTCCACCACCTCTAACAAACATTTATTCCGTGGACGAAAAGATCTCCGCGGGCCGGATGAGAGGACCTCACGGGTCGCATCTGGCCCGCGGGCCGTAGTTTGGAGACCCCTAGTTTAGATATTTCACATCAATGGTGGATTTATATTATTTTATTGTTTAAATATTTCACATCAATGGTCGATTGCTATCGTTTTATTGTTTAAATGTTTAAAAATTTCACTTCCTAAGATTGATTTTATTTCACTGAATATGACTAAATTTGAAAGAATACAATTCTCAGTTCTATCGTGAAGAAGTTATAAAAGACAAAATCAATAAATCAACAAATAGTTCTTATTGGTTTTCATTTTCTGATATATTAAAAAAAAATTGCAACTCTGCCCTTTTTAGCCCTTATTTAATTAATATCAATCATTACCAAAAAATAATTTATTTGTGTGTGTAATGCATTTTATAAATATCAATTGATTAAAAACATATTTCATAACATTGAGCATTACAGGAAATACAATCAATTTTAATTCATCAGATATTAAAACAAGAGTTACACCTTCAGATTCAAACGAGTTAAACATGACACACAGTTGAGGTAGTTTTCACACCGGGGATTAAAATATGAACGGCACAATCTTGTGCGGTACCTTCCGGCAGTATTGGTGCCAGAAATCTCCGTACTTCAGTCCGCACTTAATCTCGTCCCGGTAGCTCCGCTGTATGAGCAGCACCGTCAGGTAGATGACGTAGGTGTACGGCAGCAGGTGGTCAAACAGGGCCGGTACCGACCAGAAAAACGCCAGCAGGATCTCAGGGATGTAGTGGAAGTGACGCGACAGACCCCACCAGCCGGACGCCAACAGGATGTTTTCTTTGACGTCGCCGTTCTCCAGGCGGTACCTGGCGTGGACGATCTCCGCACGGCGTCCCCAGATGGTGCAGTTGCCGTTAGCGCCCCGGGCTTTTTGTTTTTGGGCGTCCGCAGCGTAGTTGATGTAGATACTTGCGGCCCCGCTGAACAAAATCCCAGCTGCGACCCCCGGGCCAAGGTTCACTGGGTGGCTGACCAAGTATGACGTCACGGCCGCGTAGAATCCGGGCAGGAAGACCAGGCACCCCCAGCAGATGTAGAACCCAGCGCGGTCGACCATGATGTCGATGGTGCGCAGGTACCCAGACTCCCACCAGAAGAACTTGGTGATGTAGAGCAGCTGCAGGACGGCCGACACGAACATGGAGTCGACAAACCCGTGGAGCTCGTAGCTCTTGACGGCGTGAACACAGACCATCAGGGCCCACGACATCATGCCGAACCTGCAGTTGGTGAACACTTTGATATCAAACCCAAACACTCTTGGGTACAGCTCCATACCCCAGTAGTAATCAAAGATGACGTTACCTGATGATCCTGAGTCTGTTGAAGATGGAGCAAATTTTCCTTTCAAGTAGAGAAAAACACAGAAGATTGGACTAAATGCATTCAATGCAAAAAGAACTTCATCAAACTTGTCGTATAAAATAGACGGTGAAATACCAAAAGGGTGTAGAAGTAGAGTCAAGAGCCAGAACAAAGCTATTGTCAGGACGAAGTAGGTGAAGCCGTTATCCTTGTACACAGGTACATTCCCTTTAGGCGTGACCGGTCCCGTGACGTACTTGCCAGGTAAGACTTTCATCATAGCCAAGGCGTAGATGCCGTACGCGACCAGGATCCAGACGATCGGGGCTGAAGGGTACGAGGTTCGGCTCCACATGACGCCGAGTCCGTGCAGCAGAGACCTGTCGGTGAAGACGGCCAACATCCGGTTGTAGCTGCCGCCGCAGTGCATGACGGTGTACCACATGAGCACGACGACGTTGGGCACGGCCGCCATGATGGCCAGTGGCACGAGCACCGTGGAGAACACGTGACGCGCCAGCCGGGAGATGGCGCTCTGGGTGATCTGCTCGTAACCATGGATACCTTCCGTCAACATGTCCGACTCCACGGCCGAGGCGCCGTTTGTTTTCCCGCCAGATCTAGCCGATCGTCTGCCCAGTGCTGGGGTATGTGGGTCAACCTCCTGCATGTCCCCCTGTGGGGAAAAAATAATTAAAAATCAATCAATGTAATTAATTAAATTTATTTAAAAAGGAAAAGTTTCAAATAACATATCATGGATATCCCTGAACCATACAGTCACATTGAAATACATTCACCCGCTTTTGTTAACGTCCTATACCTAAATTTACTCTTATCTAAAATGCTTTACTTCTACATACACGGAATAACTTACCAAACTATGAAAACGCGACGTTACTTTTGAAACTAAAGATACATATAAACTAAGACAATAATGGTATTTCTATGAATTACTTGACAAAATGACTAGCATTTTGTTGGAATAGACCCACACAATTTTAGTTTAGTCAACCAAATAATTTTCTTTTCGATGTCTTTTTATGATAACTCTTCATCAAAACTTGGTTGAAATTATTTGCCTCCAACATATCAAGTAATTATAGAGCAGTATTTTTGTTTGCAAAGGCATAAACCCTCCCACTTACTATTACTTTACATATTCATTACAATTTGTTTTGCAATTGTGTGATTTTATTTCTTGTGAATTCCCAGATTTATTTATTCACACGTTGCTCAAAACTAAAATAGTCAAGCTGTTTCTTTATCCAGTTCAAAAGAGCTTTTTTTTTAATGAAGGCTGTTTATTACGCTGTGTAAACAGTAAACATATGTTGTGATTTAACTTGGGACAGCACACGTGCGAATAGTTTTACTGACGTCTTACTATCGATTTCTTCATAACATTTACCACATGCATTCACAGATACATAGCTAAACGTTCTGTAGTGTGTTGACATTCTAAATCATGTCGTCTTGTCTTCTAGCGCCCTGGGCTGGTCTTACCGACAGACATGTCTAGAAATATTTGTGTTTGCAGGCTTTGTGTGTGTAGTGATTGATATAGCACATTAGGTCACATACATAAATCTGTGAGTGAGTGATGTAGCACATTAGGTCACACACATATTTCTGTGTGCTGGCTTTGTGTGTGTAGTGAGCGATGTAGCACATTAGGTCACATACATAAATCTGTGAGTGAGTGATGTAGCCATTAGGTCACATAAATATATCTTTGTGCTGGCTAATTGTTTGTGTGTAGCGAGCGATGTAGCACATTAGGTCACATAAATATTTCTGTGTGCTGGCTTAGTGTGTAGCAAGTGTTAGGGATAAGCTCGTAATTTTAATTAGCTAGGCGGTGTTTGTATTGCGAGAGTTTGTTATGTGTGTATATATAATAATGCTTCAGCACTTTCTTGGCGTTAAGTGGGCAGATGTTGTTTAACGTCGCTGTGTCAAGCTGGGTGGGTGGGGGGCAATGGGGAGCAGTTTGAAGAGATTAACGAGGAACGTTACATCACACACACAACCACCTGATCGATATTACGTAACTCACCATTTTGTTCTAGATGACCTCAGGTGAAAGATTAGTTTACTGTCACCGTCACACAAGCTTGTGTGTTCTTCTGTAAATAAATACAAAAAATAAAATGATGCTGTAGTCATATTAGGGACGGAGTGATCGAATGTTAGAACATACGACTGCTAACCCGAACGTCTCGAGTTCGGATCCCGGGCCGTAAGACGTCCCTGAGTCCTCCCAGCTCTGATGGGTACCTAAATAAATGCGACCAGCCATGGTGCTGACCACACTATTCCTACATATGCTGTGCTCACTGAAACAGGTGAACACATTGACTTGCCCCATGGACCTTAAGGTTTGAAAGTGTACTTTACTATAGTCACATAAAGTAACATAAACGTTCATAATTGGGAGATAATTGGTGGAGGGCGATCAATCATGTAGTGTGGGGGTAGGGGCTTGGGGGTGGGGGTGGTAAGTGGTAAAGGACGGTCTATTATGTAGTAAAGGGTGGTTTCGAACCACCGACATGCAGCGGTTCTGCCTTAATTAAACCGCATGACCATCAACAATTGTCTCACACGTGACATCCGCGAAGTTTTGGAACTTGACGAGCGCTGGAATATTACACAATCCAATTAACAACTAATTAGACAATAGTGATTAATCACTAGACGTGTCTGATTATATCTTTAAGACAATTAATTTTAATTACTGTTCCTCCGTGTCAAGAGAGAGAAAGAATTTCTGACGTGTCAGTTACCTGACAATGGCATTTGTCGTCTATGGCTTTCTCACATCAAACGGGATTAATCGTCCATGGCTTTCTTACATAATAAAATGGGATTTGTCGTACATGGCTTTCTCACATCAAACAATGGAATTTGTCGTCTATGGCTTTCTCACATCAAACGGGATTAATCGTCCATGGCTTTCTTACATAATAAAATGGGATTTGTCGTACATGGCTTTCTAACTTCAGACAATCGGATTTGTTGTCTATTGCTTTCTCAAACAACGAAATTTGTCGTCCATGGGCTTCACAATCAAAAAGTGGGATATTGTACAGACAACGTAATTCATGTCACACTCAACAAATAGCACACTCTTTACCTCCCCCCCCCTCACAGTAACACACACTCACGTACACACACACATCACACATGTGACACCAACAGGAATGCGACAGACTAACCCCCCCAGCCTCAACATTATCACCGGGTCACACCAGACTCGTGTCAATCAACCTAATTAATGAGCCTAATTGAATTACAAGACAAGCGCAACCACTCGGTCTCTCCTAATGACAATAATGACATTAATTAGCGCTTTATTATTCAACCTGACCAAATCTAACCGTTTGTTCTTGATCTATTTCCACGTAGAACATGGAACAATTTCTGTAACACTATGAGAACAAATTGATACTTTACAAAGGGGTAAATTGTAGATAGTGTAGAATTCGGTTAAAAGATTGAATCCTTCATACTTGAACCGACATCTAAAATGTTAAAAACTTTCTAATTAACGAGCCTAATTGTGTACCTCTCTAGCATGAACTCGAACATAACAGACATACACTGCTAGAATAATTTTTTAAAGTTATATTAATAGGAGTTTTAGCATGTCTAACTACTACGTGTTAAAATATATGTTAAATTTTGTTTACCTTTTTGTAACTGAACTGTTTCTGAGTAGAAATTATTGGAATTATATCCCTTTTTAACCATTACATTAAAAAAATTATGGTGTTTCGCACTATTCATATCAGGTTAAATACACACTTGTCTGCCACGCTTTGCTACTGGCATTAAATGACAATGTTGGTTCAGGACAGCGGATGTTTATTGTTGGACGTGTTAAATATGTCATCGGCGTTTGTTATGAGTCTTGGTGACATTCGTTGTCATCTGCACTAAATAGAGACATGGAAAATTCTAGCAGGCCTAATGATTCATCGTCATCTTTTCCCGTTGGTGCCCAAGACATAATAATGGGGCAGATGAAGTAGAGTTAATCTGTTTCAATGAACTGGTAATATAATGGGATAGTGTGGTCAGCACTATTCCTAGCCATCTTGGTTTCCCTAAAATGAGTCAGGTACTCATAAGAGCTGGGCGAACTTAGGCACTACCCACAGACTCGAACTAGTGATACGAATTAGAGACTTTAAGCATTTTAATTTACTTGAAATTTTGTTGTAAGTTAAAATTCTATTTTAGAAATATAACCATCGATTTAGTCAAATGCAGGCGATAACATTTTGTGTGTGCCATTAACTTTCTGTAATCAGAGCACATTCGTGTAACTTCATTAACGAACTAATCAATTTTTTTTCTGTTTTATTTTTATTAGCGTGTGAAGAAGGAGATTGTTTTATTTTCAAATCACTGCACAAGTTTCATCAATTATCATCATCATATACCAACACACACGGGCCCACGAGTAAACCCACCTTAAACTCTAGTTTACATTCATCAGTTGTTTAACTGTACACTGTACATACAATCAAACCATTTAAATTGTGAGAAATATATCTTAATTTGATGATAATCGCTAATTTAGATTTAAAAAAATCTACTAAGATATCAAAATATTTACAGGCTCCCTATTTAAATTACTGTTGTAATCGTCAATAAGAATATTTATGAGCATGTGATATTGTACATAATTATAACGCGTCCGTATCAAGTTAGTCCTTTAAGACAATCGACCCTCTAGCTTGATGATAACCTTCACAACATCGGTGGAACATCTACTAGTTAGGCCTACGAATGTTTGGAGACTAATTGGTGTTCTAGATCTGCGGAATTTACGTGTTTATCTGTCCAGTCGTCGTCTGCTACTACTACCAAAACAGTTTTAGGTGCGCAACATTTTAAAAAAAAACAAAGGAAAAATAAAATAATTTCATAACTAAAACAAGTTAAAACACTTTGTTAATATAAGAAAAAACGAAGTGTAAAATAAAACCAAGAAGGAAACCAATCAATCCCTGCTGGCTGTATTAGAGTGAGTCAACGAATGACAGAGACTTGTTGCGTTGGGTCCTTATGATGGATCACACTAAAGGCGGCTGTCCTGTGTGTAGGTGGGTGATGATAGCCAGTCTGACAGTCAATAGCGGTAATTGGTGCAAGGGAAATAACAGCGTTTGGATTCACAGGTCACATACAAATACAGTACTGGGTGCGGACAGGGGAGGTAATACTGGGATATAAATAGAAAAACGCCCTGTTTTCTATAGCTGAAAAAAAAAAAGCAAAAATATTTCAAAATGTGAATAGATTAACTCAAGTAGGTAGCACTTAAGTTTTCACCCCCCCCCCCCCATCCAATATTTGCGCAGCTACCCCTGTCGAAATTACCCAACAACCAGTGCGTGAATTCGTAAGAAAAAAAAATCTGTCTTGAGAAAAAAAGTCGTTTTATCCTTCAGTGACAACCATACAAATATCGTCAGTCAACCGTGACGGTGTGTACTAGGGGACTATTGGCTAATCTGTCGAAACTGTGTACTTGTACACAAAATCACAATATAAACACACGAGAATATGTAGGCTAATAACCCATCACTTATGGCCAGTAGCGTCTCATAGGGGTGGGTGGTTCAAATTTTTACCCGGGTACAAACTTTCGATTTGCACCCCCCCCCTCAAACGTTGTATATATACCAAGGGGTCTAGGGCATTAGTATATTGTCATGTAGAGTCAGTCTCTGTTCTCCAAAGTCAGTCTCTGTTTATCTAGCTTTTGTCTAGTAATGTTGTTTAGTTTACTCATCTTTTGTCTAGTAATGTTGTGTAGTTGACTCAGCTTTTGTCTACTAATGTTGTGTAGTTTACTCATCTTTTGTCTAGTAATGTTGTGTAGTTTACTCAGCTTTTGTAAAGTAATGTTGTGTAGTTTACTCATCTTTTGTCTAGTAATGTTGTGTAGTTTACTCATCTTTTGTCTAGTAATGTTGTGTAGTTTACTCATCTTTTGTCTAGTAATGTTGTGTAGTTTACCCAAGTTCTAGATAAATGGTTCTAACAGAGACAACGTAAACGCACACGATTACGTAACAACGGTGAACATGGTTCGAATCCACAAACCCCATAATTAGTCTACAGCTCGGCCATCTTAACACATTATTAATAAAACATATATTTAAATGGGATAGCCTATATGTCTGCAACTATCTGCCACTTTTAATTTTCTAGGAAAAAAAATCTAAAATTGAATAATTATTTTTGACATACACCGTTCTTCTAAAAACTTTGTACACATCAAACATTAAATTATAACTTGCCTTATATTTGAATATACATGTAACATAAATGAAGTTATATAATGTGACATATCTTTACAGAATAATTTAAAATAGAAAATTTGACATACCTGAGAAAACTGTTTCAGCTATGAACACAACACACTTGACATTACTTGCTCATAAAATATCTCACAATTACCCAGCGGTAAAACATGAAACAGCGTGTAGGACTAAAGCTCCATCTCAGCCCACATGCACATCGATCCAACCAGCCTTCAACAGGTGGAGAAGGAAAAACGTAATTAAAAGTTCACTCAAATTGACTTGACTGTCGATGCAGCGATACACGCATCAGACGGCCACGATTGAAACCCGGTTAGTTTTACCTGTTGGGTGTACCTTCACTGTAGGGAGGGGGGGGGGGGGGATGAACGTTTTCCGGTAGAGGATTAGCTTGTGGGTGGAAGATCAAGAATATGTGAAAGGCGGATTGGATTGTGACATCAGCGTGAATGGAAGTAAAATCACGCATGCGTCATTCAAAAAGTGGTCACGTGTGTAGGGAAGGTCAGGGGACGGGAGGGGAATTTTTGAGGAAGGTCACGAGAGGGGGAAGTCTACTTCCGGCAGATAAAGACGGAAATCAGTTTTCTTGTAATCAGTTGTAAGCACATTTTACAATAATATTATTGTAATAATCGCCTTCATTTGTTTCATTAAAAACACATTAATGTTAGGGTGAGAGAATTGTTTATTAAAATATGTGGTGTATGCATGAAACTAACAAAACATCTTTACAAACACATATTTAAAATGTATGTATGGGCTTGAGTCAGAGGCGTAGCGACCCC